AATTAAGAAGAAATATTCATGCAATGTTTCTTTTTCTAGTATGTAAAGGATATATGAGTAATATTGTTATAACTTGGTTGAATTTTGTATAGACAGAGCTGTTTAGCCTAAGCTTATGTCCTTTATTAAATTAGATATAAATTAAACATGCCTCAGTCAGAATATTAATAATATTCTGGCTGCATTAATAATGCATAACTTCTGATAATAAAAGTCACTCTACTGTAAAGGTTTTTGTTAGGCTTGCCTAAATTTGGTAGTAATATTTTTATATCTGTTACCAAGATTTATACAATCATGGAGAAGAATTTATAGCAGACAGAGGCAGACTAGGAGTCAAACTACTTATCCCACTATTTCTTAAAGTTGCAAATGCATCACTAAAACAGAGGTAATTCAAAGTCAGCAAATTTCAAGTGAATGGATTTATATCGTTAGAATGATTCAAAGACTTGAATATTTTCATATATTAGATCGTGTTATTCTGCTAAACACGATTGGTTCTCTCAATTAAATAGTTATTGTTTGTGGAATTTTAACTAATTTTCATGAGCCCGTAATAATAAACACAAACTTATAAAAAAAAATTATGTACTTAAAAAAATATAAAATGTATCAAGACATAAAAAAAGCAGTAAGGTTGAGTCTATTATTATTATCAATCATAAATAATATTTACTTTGTCATATTTGTTTTTTCAAATGTACTTTTGTCATATTTGTTTTTTTAAATGTACTTAGTCATATTTGTTTCTCCCAATGTACTTTGTCATGTTTGTTTCTCCCAACCTACTTTGTCATATTTGCATCTCCCAGGAAAAGTTTTTTTTTTAATGTTTAAACATGATGATATTCTCTTTCTAAATCAAGAAACAGATAAGCTTCAACGATGAAATAATTTTTTGTTTACACAAATGGTACAACCTAAGCTTCAATTTATATATATATATATATATATATATATATATATATATATATATATATATATATATATATATATATATATATATATATATATATATATATATATATATATATACATATGTATATATATATATATATATATATATATATATATATATATATATATATATATATATATATATATATATATATATATATATATATATATATATATATATATATATATATATATATGTAAATATATATATATATATATATATATATATATATATATATATATATATATATATATATATATATATATATATATATATATATATATATATATATATATATATATATATATATATATATATATATATATATATATATCAGAGATTATCATTTTCAGAATATTTTTTAATGATGACTTGCTCTCTTGCTAGTATTAATAAGTTTTTCTTTTAAACTATGAAAAGTTTTGAGAATACTCTGTTAATTTAAAGGAGAGTAGTGAATAGCCTTCAGGGTTATAAAAACAAGTTGCTCTGATAAAATAATTTATGTTGTTGATAATAATAAAATAAATTTGTTGGTGAAAAGAAATTTCTGTTTTTTATTTTATTTTAAAATAAGTAGTTATTAAAAAAAAAAGCTAGATCAAATTTTAGTTACATTTTTTATTTTATCAAAAGTGACATCTAAGAACTGAAACGCTTCATAAACTGAAATGCAATCAAAAAGTTTTATTATAATTGCAAATTAAAAAACTCAAACTCTTGCTGAAATTAAATTGTTTAAAAGAACCTCCACAGTGAACACACCATTAAACATATCAGAAATTAATTTGTTTAAAAGAAACTCTACGGTGAAGATACCATTAAACATATCAGGTATTAAATTGTTTAAAAGAACCTCTACAATGAAGACACCATTAAACTGATATTTTTATTGAAAAATAAAACTAAGCAGAATCACACGCCAAAATTAGGTTTAGAAAAGGAAATAAGATAGTGAAGTTACAAAAAGTAAGTTTTTTGTTAATATCCCTGATAACTTGTTTAGATAAGTTTACTCAACTCTAAACTTATTTTGAGGTTTATTTAAGATATGAACACAACTTGTCATAGCATTTTGGAATTCTTTTAAAAAATGTTTTTCGTGATTTTATCATCAATTAATTAAAAGAGTAAAGAAGTATAAAATATGCAGCTCTGTTAGATTATTTGCCATTATTTGTGCACGCATAAAACTATTTTTTTATTTTTATGTGTTTTTATATATATTATATATGGATTTTAATGTATAAATGATGTATGATAGGACCTACAATTTGTAGTAAGTTCTTTTCACTTTACATTTCTCACTTTAGTATATTATAAGGGTGAGATAATCTCAACACTGATATTGTAAAAATGCCAGATTATTGTATAAACAAAACTAGTGGAATCAAAAAATATTTTTTGGAATCGCAAAATGCGATTCAAAGTACTTAAAATTGGTATAGAAAAAAATGCAATATGATGCAGAGTTTGATGAAAATTTTTTGTAATAAACTTGATATAATTCAAGCACAAAAGCAAATGTTTCTAATTTACAACTAACCTTGAACCAAAGCAAGTCAGCTCAAATTCAAATGAAATTAAAATTTTTGTTGGCAACTACTTTAGTAACTCATACAAGTAAAAATAAATTCAAATATTTCAAACTAGTTACGCTGATCAAGCCTTACAGGGAAGCATATATGGTAACACATCTTGTTTGTCCACATTTAAAGTAATTTAAATGTGGACAATTGTGTTTATTCGTTTTGACGTTTTTACTATTTTAAAAATGTTTTTGCTATATTTGACGTTTTTTCTCAATACTTATATAATAAGAAACTAAGAAAACAAATTGCTATTTATTTGTAAAGTATATTATATGTTTAATAAATTTTGTAATGACAGAATAAAACTAAACAAAAGAATACCAAGGTTTTTTTTATAAATGTATTTACCGCATTTGATGCATGTCTGAAATTGTTTCTTTTATATTGCCCAACTTCCAATGTTAATACAAAATACTAGTGATAATGAACATAACAATTGCTCTGTTTGAAAAAATGTATGTAAAAACTTCAAAAAAAGTTTTAAATAGGGTCCTAAGAATTTTGTTAAAAAGTTTAGTAAATTAACAAACTAACCAACAAGCTTTTGAAGGATCATCAATAACAATAGTTTATCAGGAAATAAACTCAGTTTAAATGCACAATTTGGAGAATCCATCGAAAGTGCAGACTTTTTCAATGGGGATAATGAAAACAACTAAATATTTTATATTTGAATATAAGTATTAAGGAATTTTTTTTTTACATGAAAAACTTGTTTATAAATAAAATAAGTTATTTACAAATAAATAGCAGTTAGTTTTCTCCCTTTCCTGTACATTAATAGAAACTGTAAAGTTTAGAAAAAACATTTTAAAAATGAATTTTAAAATGGCCCATATTTTTAGTGCAAATTATAAAGTATATCCTTAAAATACTGACTGAAAAAAGTTGCAAAAAAATTGTATATCAGAAAATGTTTTTTTTTCGTTACATTTTTATCTGTTTTTTTCCTTGACTTGTATCAATTTTGGTACTGGAAAATAACAAACGCCCTAAAAAAAGAAAACAAAAACAATAAAATATTTAAGGATATTAATTTTTAGTGGTGGAAAATAACAAACACCCTTAAAAAAAAACAAAAAACAGCAAATTATTTAAGGATATTTTTTTTTGATGATTTTTTTTAATATTCAATTTTTTTTAGTTTATTTAATTTAGATTTTCTATTTTGTATAGTCTTTATTTCCTTTCTTCGAGTATTGTTATTTTATTCTCTCTAATTTCTTATAGCTTTATTTTGCTGCAGAATCTTAAAACGCTTACCATATAAAAATGTGGTCAAGTTGTCTAAAAATATTAAGTTAAGTGTGGACAAACAAAGCTTGCGATCCCACACTCTTCCTGGGAAGGCTTGCTGATATAGTTTTTAAAAGCTAAAACAATCAAACATTTAACATTTGATTTATAACATAGTTTCGGTGAATTTTACAATATTATTTAAAACATTTGAAAGTAAATTGGTTTATATACTTCAACATTTATAACATCCAATGTCGCTGGTACTTACTTTCACCTGTTAGGGAAGGGTGTTAATTTTTTAGTTTCCTCTCCCTATAAGCTTATTAGGAATCTCCTGTTTATTTTGAAATAAATAGTATGAAATAAAATAGTTTTGTAATTTTTTTACAAAAATAAACAATTATTTTCTCTTTTTAAGTCTGTTAAATGAAAAATTAATTCCTTACATAAATATGTTAAAACAGATAAATTTATAGAACCAACTAGAACTAGTTTTGAGATGAATAAATGATAACAAATTTTGAGTTGATAAAATGATAACAAGTTTTGAGATGATAAAATGATAACAAATTTTGAAATGATAAAATGATAACAAATTTCGAGATCATAAAATGATAACAAATTTTGAGTTGATAAAATGATAACAAATTTTGAGATGATAAAATGATAACAAATTTTGAGATGACAAAATGATAACAAATTTTGAGATGATAAAATGATAACAAATTTTGAGATGATAAAATGATAACAAATTTTGAGTTGATAAAATGATAACAAATTTTGAGTTGATAAAATGATAATAAATTTATCTAGAAAATACTAGTTATCCTGCTTTCAAACTTCAAAAAAATCTTGAATCTTTTTATCTTGTAAAAGTCTCAAAATGTATTGCAAAAATATTCATATACAATGACAATGCGGGATGAAACTTCCAATTTATTGGCATCATAAAAACAAGTGTAATATGATTCAATATGGTAATATTGTTAGCAGCATGTTTGGGATTATCCTACCTTATTATATTACATATTGCATTTTTACAAAAACATTTTTATAAAAAACATTATTTTTTACAAATAAGTTTTTAAACACGTGAGATATTTTTAATTACAAAAAATGCATTTATAATTCCAGATTTTTTCTAGATATTTCTTAAAAATTTTTTTTGATATGCAGTTTTAATATTATTAATATATTTTTTTATCAAGGTGTTAACATACAAGGTGAATATGGCGCTACTCCATTACACTATGCAGCTCGATATATGAAGAAAACAGACATAGAACAAATGAATATTGAAAATAAGGAGCCATCTGCAACAATCCAAAAGTATCATTCACTAAACCAAATGGAAAAATTTGGGTTGTTACATGGCAGCAAAAAAAATCTTTCAAAAGTACCAAAATTTGATATCAACAAAAAATCTTTAAAAAAAAAAATTCATGGTTCTTTTGACGAATTTAATTTACTATATGTAAATAACTTCATCGACTCTAATATAAAGACTTTATACTCTGAACCAAGTGTTGTTTTTCATTCAAAACGACATAACAGTTTTCATTATGGATATGAAAATACAAATAAAAAAGAAGGCAATAGTGCAGTTGTCATTTTAGGTGATTTAAGTCAAGATGAAATAGCAAATATGAAAAGTGTTGATGCACTTATTTTGCCACCTGTAAAAAATGTTTCTTTCTCAGAAGTTGAACTCGATCAAAATTCTAGAAGGATTTCTACTGTTGTTTCTACTGCCAATATTTCTTCTGATTTCAATTTCCCTGTGAATAATTGTTCTGAGCATATTTCCCCTAGTAATAATTCTTTTGATCAAGTTTCTTTTGAAAACGTTTCTTCTGCTGACATCAATGCAAAAGAAAAACTAGTTAAAAAAAAGCCATATCTTTTTAAGAGAAAAAGAAACAACAATAAAGCGCACCAAAATTCAATATTGATGTATCTTATAGAACAAAAAGCAAATATTAATTCTAAAGACTTTAATGGTTCTACTCCTCTCCACTATGCTGCCATGAGAGGAAATGCTGTTGCTGTAGAGATGCTGCTTATGCAAAAAAACATAAATATTGAGGTAAGTTTATTTTAGTATTACTTCTTACATAAAAAGTAATGAAAAAAAATTGAATTATTTAATCTAAGTACATTTAAGCAGGTCTGTAGCAATGATTAAATATTTAAATAATGAATAACTAGTATGACTATTAAACTGTATTATACTGCAAAGTATGATATTATTCAAAGTATATCTTACTAAAATAGATGTATCAGATATAATAGATATTATTATTGGTACATGAAAAAGAGCCTCCTCTTTTTGCTGTTGTTTGCTGTTGTTTTAGCAAATATTGATGACAATCTAAAACTTCTTGTTAATAGGACATGTTACAGAAAAATCTCATCATGATACATTAGTAAACATTTTGGACATTAGCATAATTGCAGCTAATACTGGAAAACATTTTTTCACTAAGAATAATTTTTTTTAAAAACAGGATTCTGTTAAAGCATGCATGTTGATAATATATTTATGAGCTTCACTGTAAAACATTTTTGGGAACAAGTTTGCACTTTTGAAACTCCTAAAAATCTAAGTTTTGTTTAATTATTTGTCTTACCAGTTGACAGTTGGGTTACAATAATAAATCATTTGAGTTGCAGAATTTAATTTGCTATTATATTTTATGGTTTTTGTGGCCCTTTTTAGTATATACTTAATCCAGAAATGGAAGATCACAATAAAGAAAAAGTTGCAAAAGCTTTATCCTCCCAACCTGTTCCAATAAAATATCTGAAAATGTTAATCATTTTAAAGATTTGGACTTAACCCAGGAGAAATTGCCTTGTTTATCACATTCAGTTGGTAAAAACTCAGTTTATTTTTAGTCTAATAAATTTGATTGGGGACAACGATAAACCTTGGCTGAATTGTTCCAATTTTTTATTGATTATGTTGGCTGACTATAAGTTATCATCAACTGCACTGAATTGCAAATCAGACTTGTGTCAGAGTTAGTTGGTTTTGTTTTCAATGAAGAGGAAAAATATACTGTTGGTTGCTTAGTAAAGTAGGGACCAATTCAGACAGTTTAAAAATGTAAAAACAAGAGTATGGCCAAGAAAATATGTTGCTTACAAAGCATAATTTGTAGAAAGAAATATTCATTTTTTAACAAGAACAAATGAACAAAAATTGTTAAGTTTATAAATTTTTGAAAAATTAATAAAAGTTGTTGAGTTCATAAATTTTATATATTATTTTTAAACAATTTTTTTTTTTTTAGTTAATTATTTTTAATTTTAACAACAATAATTAATCGTTTTTTAAATTTATGCCACTGTTGAAAATTATTGCTATTAATTTTAAATTTGTTAAGAAATACATGATCAAAAAATAGAGCAAATGATGGGAAATTGTTCTATTTATATATTCTATTTATATATTAAACTAAAAAATTACACATTGTTTAGTGCCCTTTGAGTTGTTGTTTTTTTTTGTATTATTTAGAGCTATTTTTGTAGTTACATATATGGTATATATATTTTTATGTTTTTTTAATATATATATTTTTAAGTATATATATATATATATATATATAATATATATATATATATATATATATATATATATATATATATATATATATATATATATATATATATATATATATATATTAAATGGTATTTTGTATTTGTAAATAAAATACAAAAACTCTTGTACGTATAAGAGTGCTCAATAATAAACAAATAGGATTTATTTATCTATTTAATAGAGCATTATATATATAGAAATTTGTAAACAAAGAAAATACAACTTTTTATGGTACTAATAGTTTCATGCCTAAAGGCAATCATCGGTCATGTAATACAAAATCAAAAAATAAAAAAAACTGTTAAAATATAAAGTTACAATGAAGTGTGCTCCATTGTAATAACAACAAACAACAGAAAGAAAAAAGAAAAAAAGAAAAAACTATAAACGGCTGCCTAATCACCCGAATTTAACTTTGAAAGAAGAAATTTGCTTTTATGTCTACAAAACTAATTCATTCCTCTTAGTTAATAAGTTGTCATTGGTGTAAGATATTATGAGATACTTTTCAAATAAACAAAGATTGCAACGTTTTACTGTGGGATTGTAAGATCTACAACGTTTTACAATTTTCCATTTAATTGTCGAGTTTACTCCACTCATAGGAACTTTACTCATTGTAACTTTATATTTATATTACTCATTTATATTTATATTACTCATTGTAACTTTATATTTTAACAGTTTTTTTATTTCTTGATTTTGTATTACATGGCCAATGATTGCCTTTAGGCATGAAAATATTAGTACCATAAAAAGTTGTAATTTTTTTGTTTACATATATATATATATATATATATATATATATATATATATATATATATATATATATATATATATATATATATATATATATACACATATATATATATATATATATATATATATATATATATATATATATATATATATATACATATATATATATATATATATATATACTATATATATATATATATATATATATATATATATATATATATATATATATATATATATATATATATATATATATATATATATATATATATTTATTTTTATTTATATATGATATATTTGAGTTATTTTTATTGATTTTTAGATATATTTTTTAAATTTAAAATATTATATAGACCTTTTAGAGTTCATAGAAAAAATAAAGAGTTTTGTTTCAATGTTTTAGCTTTTGACTTTAAAATTTGGGAGTTTAAAAATTAGTTTTGAACTTTTTTTAGTAAAAAAATTATTTTCCTAATAGCTCACCCACATGATTCAGGATTCAAAGGGAAAAAAAGTAAATTAAAAGTTAGAACCATGTACCCTGTATACATATTTTTACCATTATAATGGTAAAAGCATGTATAAATATGTATGGTTACTTGAACTTTTTTAATAAAAGATACTTCAAAGTTATAAATAGAATATTTACACTTTAGACTTTAAAATTAAAAATAAAGTTAACAAATTTGTATTGCTTTCGTAATAAAAAATTTAAGTAAAATCTTTACGTTTTTAAATGAAAACAGTTTACTAAAAGTAAATAACACAAGTTTAAAAACTGCTAATGTGAAATAACTCTTGTGCGCAAAGCCTTTTGTTAAAGGGATCCCAAAGTGCTATGATAATTTGTGTACATATCTTAAATAAACCTTAGAAAATAAGTTTATAGTTGATTAAACTTATCTAAACAAGTTATCCAGATATTAACAAAAAACTTTTTCGCTTTTTTTGTAACTTTACCATCTTGTTTCCGTTTATAAACCTACTTTTGATTTTGAAATGATTATATTTAGCACAAGCTTTGGTTTTCCTTTTTTTTAATTTGCAATTATAATAAAACTTTTTTGTTGCATTTCAGTTTATGAAGTGTTTCAGTTCTCAGATGTCACTTTTGATAAAATAAAAATATAACTAAACTTTAATCTGGTTTTTCTTAAATAACTTTTTTTAAGAAGAAATTTTTTTTTTGTTTTCACTGACAAATTAAACTTTATATTTAATTATTACCCAAAATATTATTTTTGATTTTAGATTTTATTAGTGCAACTTGTTTTAAACAACACAGCTATATTCTTTCTGTTTAACTAACAGAGTTTTCAAAAAACTTTTCATAGTTAAAAAAAAATTAAATAAGTTATAGCAAGTTAATAAAATTCTTTTTTTTTAGAAAAAAAGTTATCTAACTATTATATTAAAAAAGAAAAAATCGAAAAATTTAAATTAATTTTTATAACACTTATTTTTATTAACACCAATGATAAACGCTTTAATCAGACCAAATTTCTTTTGAAAAAAAACAACATAAATCGGAACTTTTCTTTGTGAAAAAGCAATATGGTGTTGAAAATGCAAAAGTTATTTGTTAATATCTCCATAAATAATTTGTTTATTCACAGTAAGACATATATAAACATTAAAGAATAAAGAAGTCAAAGTATAAAACATATTTTAGTACTTTGTTTAGGCTCCTCAAACTTTTAGAACAGTTTCTGTTCTTTGCAGCATTGAGGCAGCAAGAGACTGGTATTAATTTATGGCACCACACTTTAGTTATCTTCAGATCTCCTATAGTTGGCATCTGAATTTTTAAAACTCATTAACTTATGGTGGGTAATATTCAATTCTAAAAATAGTGTAGTCGAAAGAGACTTTTATGGTAAAAAAAGTCTCTTTCGACTACAATTTTTTTACCTTGTCTCTTAAGCTGCATTTTATTGTCGTCGAAATGTCAAAGCAATTAAATTAATGCGGAAGTACATTAAATTTTATTGTTTTTTAAAAAAAACGCAATAATAATGACTAGAAAGTTTTTTTAAATTAGTGATGTTTTTGTTTTTGCTTTATTAAAAAATATTTTTAAAACATGCGTAAGTGTTGCTATATCGACTATCTTATAGTCTGCTGCTACAAGAGGGTGTTGCTGCATCGACTATCTTATAGCCTGACTCGCAACGGAGTGCTGCTACATCGACTGACAAATAGCCTGACTCGCATGGGAGTGCTGCTACATTGACTGTGGGTTTGGTTTGGGCTGGCAGTCCATCATTTTTAAAAAAAATTTTTTTTTTGAAGTTTTTTAACATTTTCTGGTCAGGGTATTAATGCGCTCTTTAAAACAACAGTTTATGGGAAAAACTTTGTGACTACCATGCTAGACTATATATATATATATATATATATATATATATATATATATACACACACACAACCCTCAGAATTAGGGCTGGCATTCATCAATAACCATTGACCATAAAGTGTTTGAGGTTGCTAAAAAATTGCCAACTTCATTTCTATGCTTTATATTAAGGCCTTTGTATCAAATTTTTTTTGCTGACCGAATGCTGACCTCTAAAAAATTGCTCTAAAAAATATAAGCTGCCACCCCCTTAATGTGTTCTATATGATAAAAAATATTGGATTTTAAAAGTTATTAGAATAAAAAATATTTTTAGGGATATCTCAAGACCCTTAAACATTTAACGAGTTCCTAATATTATTAAAAAATCATGTTGGATCTCAAATGAAGCAAAGTTATATGAAAATTTAAAAAATGTTAATTATATTATTTAAAAATAAATATGTTAGATTTAATAGCATGAAAGATGAAGTTTATTAGGTTAAGTTTTTTTGGGACACCCTAATAAATAAATATATATATATATATATATATATATATATATATATATATATATATATATATATATATATATATATATATATATATATATATATATACACACATATATATATATATACAGTCAGCGAAATTCAGGTCGGCATTCGGCAACGCAGATGCAAAAGTCGACCTATCTTGGCTTTAGGATGGCATACAACTGCTGACCTGAATATCCTATAGTGTTGGCATACAAATTGAAATACATGTAAAAAATATATATTCTTCGTTAAATATTATCTTGTAAATTTTTTATTGTAGTTACTTGCTTTTCTAGTTTGACATGTTTTATTAAAACAATAATTCATTCATTTTTTTTCAATTCATTTTTTCTTTTTTTCTCAAATTTATTCAAGCATAGAAAGGTTAAAAAATATTATTTTTAAATGCCTGATGTTCTCACGCTTTTTTGAGCGCAGTTATTTATTTATTAAGTTATAAAACCTAATTTTAATTTATTTTATTAGTTCAAACTATTTAACAAATTAAATAATTTATTTACATGTTTACGGTTTTTTTTAATATTATTTATGATCAGAAAGTATATTAGGAAAGTTTAGCTTTGGTATAGTTATGTTATAACAAATACAAAGAAGAAACATTAGTTATTAAACTTTTTTTTAATTTGATAAAAGTTAAGGCTTCCATTAAATGGCAAAAAACGCAACAGTAATACAGTAAGCAAGGTTAAACAACCTAATGTAAACTGTCTACTCATTTTGTTAAACAATTTGCCGTTTTAAACAAAATCTTCGCCTACAGCGCATAAACTCAATTTGTATTTTTAAACAACGTTTTTTTCTTCAGACTTAAAACAAGTCATAATGCCTAACAGAATTCTCATTGAAAAATGTGGGTTTTACACCATATTAAAATTACTTCACCTCTAAAGTAATAAAGTAATCATCAGTTTGAAATCCTGCGGATTTCAAACTGATGATTCAGGTTAAGTAATTTTAATATGGTGTAAAACTTGCCGAGAATATTCAGAGGTATTCAGAGCTTTTAAAAAATTGTCATAATAAAAATAAAGGCTGTACTAAATTAGCAACAGAAAAGTTTGTATAGTTTTGTATAGTTCATAGTATACTACAATTAAATATTGAAATACATCACTCCTACTACTGGAGAATTAAATGCTTATTTCTCGTAGAGGTTAAACAACCAGATGTAAACTGTCTACTCATTTTGTTAAACAATTTGTCGTTTTAAACAAAATTTTCGCCTACAGCACATTAAATAAATTTGTATTTTTAAACAACGTTTTTTCTATGACCTATAATAGTGTTATTACATTTATAAAGCACTTATTACTTTTAAAGTTCATTCTTTGTTCAAACAACATTATTAATTCGAAACATTTATTAAAGTAGAAAAGCATCTAGAAAAAATAAAGCAGTACACAAATTATTTAAATAAAACAAAAATAAAAACAGTACACAAATTATTTTAATTATTATTATTATTTTTTTTTTTTTATTTCAATCTCTTTTTATTTTGTTAGTTTTTTTGTTTTTGAAACTTTTTCAGCATTATTATAAAACTTGCAAACAGCTGTGTTCGTGTTTTCTAAAATATTATAATCGCATGTGGTCATACGAGACGAAAAACCGCACGCCTTTATATATATATATATATTGTATATATTATTTATATATATATAAATAATATATACAATATATATATATATATATATATATATATATTGTATATATTATTTATATATATATAAATAATATATACAATATATATATATATATATATATATATATATATATATATATATATATATATATATATATATATATATTGTATATTTTATTTATATATATATATATGCATACATACATACATAGGTATATATATATATATATATATATATATATATATATATATATATATATATATATATATATATATATATATATATATATATATATATATGTATATATATATATATATATATATATATATATATATATATATATATATATATATATATATATAATATATATATATATATATATATATATATATATATATATATATATATATATATATATATATATATATATATATATATATATATATAGATATATATATATATATATATATATATATATATATATATATATATATACATATATATATATATAGATACACATATATATGTGTATATATATATGTGTGTATATATATATATATATATATATATGCATTCATACATATATACATACATATGTATATAATGTATACACATATATATGTGTATATACATGTATATGTGTGTATGTGTATATACATGTACATGTGTGTATGTGTATATACATGTATATGTGTATATATATATATATATACGTGTATATACATGTACACGCACACACATATATATGCATATATGTTTAATTATGTACTAGGCAACTGACCAATCAAAAATGACCCCTTTACATTGTGCATCAAGTGCTGGTTCCTTTGATGTTTGCCATCTGCTTTTAGAACATGGTGCAAAAATCATATGTCAAGATAAAGAGAATATGACTCCTTTGCATTTTGCAGCTATGGAGGGTCATTTAGGTAAATAAAACTTTAGTCCAATTTCATATATAATGCACAATATTATTATTATTTATATTGTACAAATAATCAGCTGTTCACTACTCTAAATATATATGTGTGTTTATATATATATATATATTAGGGTGTCCCAAAAAACAACATTTTTGAAAATAATCTGCTCTCACACCCTAAATGTGTTCTATCTAATGCAAAAACACTAGGTTTAAATTTTTTTTGAATAAAAAATGTTTTAAGGGGTCCCTCAAGACCCTCGAATATTTAATAGGTCCCTAATATTTTCAAAAATATGTCAACCTGGTACTCAATGAAGCGAAATTATATAAAAATTTTAAAAATAATATTCATTTTAAAACAAAATTGTTATTTTTGGTTTTATTGCATAAAAATTTGCGTTTTTTAAGAAAAAATGAAAAAAATGTGTGTGTGTGTATATATATATATATATATATATATATATATATATATATATATATATATATATACATACATACATTTAGTAGATTTTGCCAAAAAGCAGGAAAGTTGAAATATGTGACATGCTTTTAGAGGAGTAGAGGGTGCAGACATATATGATGGTTTGTTACATGAGGAAAGTAGGGGGGGGGGGGAGTTATATTGAAAAATATTGGATGATATACTTTATGGGTGACTTCTTAATTGCATTTACAAATGGTTTGTTTTATTAAAACAAAAATATTAACCATATAAAAATATACTTTCAATTAAAAATCTTTTCATTTGTTTATTCGTTTCAAATGTTTAAATCATTACAGTGAAAGTAGTTGGATTTAAAGATACATTTCACCTTTTTTGCTTGCTGGATAATTTGTAATGGTTTGAAAGTACAATTAAATGCTGACTTTTCCTCCTCTGACAAGTATAGAACTTTGACATTATTCTCTTGATAAAAATTCACAAAATCATTTGCTGGTTGGGTTTCATAAATTCATTTGGTGATGGATTCATGAGTTATTAATGCTTACAGAGTGTAAACTAGCCCTGTGGGGCCCCGCCAAATGCAATATTCCTAAATGCTTATAAAAATAAAATTCCCAATTTAAAGGTGAAAAAATCCCATTTTGCAAATAAAGTTCGCCAAATGAAAGTTTAATAATTATTTTTAAAATTAATCAAAATTAGTTATTAAAAACAAATAAAAAAATAACATAAGAAATTCTTATTTAATTACGTAAAACTTGAAATAAAGTTGCTGTTATTGGTATAATTACTTGATTGCATAACTGCGAAAATGTCATTTGGAATAAACTTCTTGTGAATTAGGATTTTCCAAGCAATTTTAGGGATTTTCTTGGCAACTTGCTTCTAAAATTCGTTTTGCAAAATTTGCAAATAATTCTTCGTAATGTTCCAACAACAGCAATTGTTATATAAAAAACTTAGCAAGAAATAAAGTACAATCTAAACAAATAACAGAATTGTTTGGTTTAACATCTGCAAATTCTATTTCTTTACAAGTTTCGCCCTTTTTGGCCCAAAAGATAAATAACTTATTAAGTCTTACTGTAAACTTTACTTCAAGTAATACATGTACTTCGTCATCAAAAATGTTGAGAAGTCATTTATGTCATATACTTTCGAAATTTTAATCAATTTTGGATATAACGGAAAAAGAAAAACAATAACTAAAGTCTTTTGGTTATTGTTTTTCTTTTTTTTTCTTTTTTTTCTTTTTTGTTATTCACCTCCTCAAGGCTGAGAAGGCCACTACATATGAGGAGGCTACTTTATAGTGGTTATAACCCTCTCTCAACTCTATAACTCCGAAACACGAACCTTGACAAACAAGGCTGCTGCGTGGAGAAACAAGTTGAATGTGGTACTACCATAGACATGGTGGGGATCGAACTCAGAACCTATTGCTTATGAAGCAAGCGTTTTACCACTACACCACTATCGCATGTACATATATTAAAACCTAAATTAAATTGGTTTAATAACAAGAGTTTTTTTTATTACAACAAACTGGTACTAGAAATTAAATTTAATAATTTTAGAATGAAAAAATAATTATTGGTATTCTTCTTTGCCACAATAGTGTGCAATTGCTTGCGATCAATATTCTTTTGTAATTAAACGACATTAGTTGTTTTTGCTCAGACTTTGTAAATCTATTTCGCAATTTATATATAGAGAAAATTAATATAAATTGTAAAATTGAACTCACATATATATTAATATATATATATAAACAAGAAAAATTTGTGAATTTGTAAAACCATTTTATTAATTAAAAAAAAATAGATGTTTCAACTAACACTAGTCAACTTCATTTAAAATTAAATATTTAAAATTTGTTAAAATACCTATTAAATTTGATAATTTGCTAATAATGATTTTTTATTTTTAAAAAGTTAGTAACAAATAAAAAAGTATAACTTTTTGCAAAAATAATTATTATGTACAATAATAAAATTTATTATATATTTAATTACTTTGCTAGCCATTATTTTAGGTTTCCAAATACCATTTATTGAAAAATATATTTTGTTACGTTTTCACCTTTAACGAATGCTAAAAAAGATTAACGTGTACTAGAATGCGTTTACAAAGTTTTTTTTTTTTTTTTTTTTTTTTTTGTTAAAATGAGAAAAGAAAAAAAAAAGCGGTAAAAAAAGCTTCTTTTTTTTTCAAAGTAAAATATATTATTAATCAATATTTAGTAATACTTTTGAAAAAAAGTGAAATAAATATTTAATTTTCTTAATTTTTAATTTTAGCTGAAATTATTTCATTTATAAATAGCATTTATATTGAATGTAATGGTCATTCAAATTTTTGTGACAAACTTTTTAATATAATTGCCATTCAAACATTGAAGTAGTTTATATAGCAATCACTTAGTTTATCTTACCGCCTAAAAGACATCTTTAACTAATTTAAATATTAAAAAATGATAAAAAAGTTTAAAAATTAATTGTTTCTTTAAGTAAAAGTCTTACTTTTTTCCCCAAAAGTAGTCCATAAGCTTCTTTTCTTGTATGATATTTTCTTAGGCATACTCCTGTCTGGTTATTTTTTATCATAAACCTTTATAGTTCTGTTTTTGACACTACACTAAAACTGCCCCATATATATATATATATATATATATATATATATATATATATATATATATATATATATATATACATATATATATATATATATATATATATATATATATATATATATATATATATATATATATATATATATATATATATATATATATATATATATATATATATATATATATATATATATATATATATATATATATATATATATATATATATATATATATATATATATATATATATATATATATATATATATGTATATATATATATATATATATATATATATATATATATATATATATATATATATATATATATATATATATATATATATATATATATATATATATATATACAAATAGTATTGCGTACTAAGGTAAGCAATCTGACATCATACTGAAATACCCTGCTGCTGGGGGCTTCAGTACATACATTGACTGACAAATAGCCTGACTCGCAGTGGAGTGCTGTTACATCGACTGAAGGTTTGGGATGGAGCAGCAATCGTTTCATTCATCATTCTTTGTTTTTAATCTTCTTTTTCTAAAAAAGCCGTATAGATAAAGGTAAGCAAAAAAAGTGACCAAATGCTTATAAAAATACGCTTTAGTAAGTATATATATATATATATATATATATATATATATATATATATATATATATATATATATATATATCAGGCTTTCCCAGGAAAGACGTGCGGTCGCACGCCTTGTTTGTCTACGCATAGAATAAATTTTTCTGTTTAACTGACCTCGTTTTATTATTATGCGTTACAAGAATTCCTGCCAAAACAAAGCTAAATGAAAACACCGCAAAAATGCAAGCAATCTTAAAGTAAATAAAAGAAATCTGTTTGTGCTTTCAAATTTAAAAATTAATGTATAATATTAAAAAAAATATATATATATATATATTTTTTTTTTTTAAAGGCGGTAGTTATTTTAGCTATGAAAAATCGAATCAATAAAAAAAATCAAATCAATAAGAAAAATCAAATCAAAAAGAAAAAGATTATTATTTAATGAAAATAAAAGGACCTTTTAATGTAAAATTTGTTTATGACTTTTATCAGTCAGTATTACTTTAAAATTCACGATAAAACTTTAATTAATTTTTAAATGTTTTGTAAATACATTTAAATGTTTAAATGTATTGATACGCAAGAAAGCGCAAAAGCGATTGCTATTTACTTGTAAAATACGTTTTTTTTTCAATTTTCCAATGAAAGAAAATTTTATTGTCAAACGATTGGGTTGCTTATTTTGCAATCATTAATTGACATTGTGAACGAGTGTTAATATATAATAATGTCCCGAAGGAATTGTTTTTGTAACAATGACAACAGAAGCAATGCAATTATTTTTTTAACTTCTTTCGTAATTACAAAATTATGCAATTGAATAATTTCAACGTAATAAAAGGCGAGCATTTAATCAGTTTAGAATAAGTTGAGAGAGAACTTTTTTCACATTAAAATTTTTTTATCTTTAAAATCTCAATTAATATATTTAATAATTAAAACAGCAATTTATTTTCTTGTCTAAGTATTGGGGAATAACGTCATCGCCTTTGTATAAACCTTTGTAAAAACTAAATTAAATTAAAAAATTTAATCAAATTTGTCTAGCGTAAATAATGAATCAGTTTTTTAATACATTGTCTGATAAAGTTAGTGAATAAATTACGTATCAAGTCTTTTTATTTTCGTGAAAACTTTATGATTTATTGTCGTCTTTTCCTTGACTTGTATCAAATTTCGTAGCTGAAAATAGCAACCCTAAAAAAAGAAAACAAAAACAGTATAAAAATTTTGAAAAAAATGTTCTGGCCTTTTTTTTTTTGTTACAAGATTTTTCTTTTTTTTTAATTTTTTCTTTATTATCAAAATATTTTTCTTACATCCAATTTCAATTTTATACTTTGTTTAGACTTCGTTTCTTTTTTTTAATATTATTTTGTATTCTCTGTGGATAAGTTCCGTTTTCCCACAAAATATTGCTGCGGTCACGTTTTCTGAAAAATTTATTTTATGCGTGGACAAACAAGTCGTGCAACCGCACGCTTTTCCTGGGAAAGCCTGATATATATATATATCATTCATCATTCTTCATTTTTTTTCTTCTTTTTCTAAAAAAGCTGTATAGATAAAGGTAAGCAAATGCTTATAAAAATACGCTTTAGTAAGTATATATATATATATATATATATATATATATATATATATATATATATATATATATATATATATATATATATATATATATATATATATATATATATATATATATATATATATATAAATATATATATATATAAAAATATATATATATATATTTATAAATATATATATATATATATATATATATATATATATATATATATATATATATATATATATATATATATATATATATATATATATATATATATATATATATATATATATATATATATATATGTATATATATATTTATACATTTATTTATCTATATATATTTTTTATTTATAATTATATATAACATAAAATTAAATACCTTTTTAACAGATGTTGTTCAACTCCTTTTTGATTATGCTGAGAGTCGAGGTGGTATAACCTTGATCGCCAAATTGATATTTTCAGCTGATCAAGATGAACAAAGTGCTCTTCATCTTGCAGTTGAAAACAATCATATTGATATTGTGAAGTTTTGTATAAATAAAGGCTCAAATGTTAATTTGGTGAAAGCAAATATGAATTCTCCTTTACATCTTGCTTGCACATCAGGATTTCTAGAGATAGCAAAACTTTTAGTTGAAAATGGTGCTGTTATCGAATCTAAGAATTCTTTACAAGAAACTCCATTGCATAGAGCTGCTCTATTTAACCGAACTGAAATAATTGAGTTCTTGTTGGATAAGTAGGTGGTTTTTACGTAAACTTTATATGTATATATCTTTGGAAATTTTATGTATATTTTATATATCTACTATTATGTATTACAACCCTCAGAATTAGGGTCGGCTTTCGGCAATACTAACCTAGAAATGTTTGGCGTCTGCAAAAAATTGCCAACCTTGTTTCTATGTTTTACGGTAAAACCTTTGTATCAAGTTTTTTTTTTCCAACCTGATGCCAAACTCAAGCAGGTTGAGGTGGGCAAATTATTGCTAATTGCATTTTTCTTAATTCCGAGGGCTGGTATTATCTATACTTATTGCATTTACTTGTATGTTTTTATGTAAATTTTTTTGTATTTACTTTTATGTTTATATGTATGCTTGATGTATTTATTTTTATGTTTTTATTTATACTAAATGCAAGCTTTCTGAAAAGATTAGTTTGGTCGCATTCCTTTTATGACCATGCATACAACTTTTTTTTTGATAACCATGGTTTTTTTGCATATAGTAATAATTTGCGCTTAAAAAGCTAAACTAATTTAAAGAGAAAGTTAAAAATATACCAAGAAAAGAGAAACAATCTTAATGAATGATAAAATAAATAAATCTGAGAAAATAAAAGTATAAACTAATATATTTTTTAATCAAGAAGTATCTTAATAGTTCAAACTTTATTTAATTTAAACCGTTTCAAATAGTTTTGTTTAAAGCTGATTTTTCTTATAATCATTTCTTATAATCACATTGCTTATATTCATTAATTTTATTATTTATAAGGTGCAACTGTTATGTTGGCATTGGATGAGGGTTCAAATCCTACTAATGGATATATTTTTTTATGTTTTATTTGCTTTGTAAATATTAGAAAATATCTATATAATATATAATAAGTTTCAAATTTTTAAATGATTAAGTTTTGAAGTAATCAAGCTTAGATTTAATTTGAAATTTTGATTTTTTCTAAATTCTTTGTTTAGAATTTTGTGAATTTTAAATTCAAAAAACAAACATTTTTATGTTTTTATTTTTTCTGGTATCTTTTTATTCATTTTATCATTTGTTACAATTTTTTTTTTCAGTTTAGTTTTGTATTTTTTTGTCAGTTTAGTTTTTATTTCTCTTTCCTGTTTATAGTTTATTTTTGATTTTAGTTTCAGTTTACATTTGTTCATTCAGTGCATTTTTTAAACATGCTAACTTAAAACATGCAAGGAGCCGTGGCCAAGTTTTTAAAACAAAATATTACATGCTTGGTCATACAAGGCATGTGATAGAACAAGTCTCCTGAGAAGGCTTGTAAATATATGTATACTCTGTCAATAAGTCTATAATATTATAAAACAAATAATTTCTATTTATTTCTTTACAATGTGAAATTTCAAAACTTATCTAATTATAAATTCTTTTTCTTAGAGGGGCAGATGTAAACTGTCGTGATAAAGACAATGAAACACCTTTACTTATGGCTGTACGTAAAAATAATGTAGAGGCAGTCAAAGTGTTGCTTAGATATTCTGCAGACCCAAATGTAAAAGATGCAAATGATAAGACTTGTTTGTTTATTGCTGCTGAACACAACTCACGAGAAGCATTAAATGTATTTATTAAGTTGATATTTTAAACACTTTATATACATTTATAATAATTAAATCTAGTCGACTAAACATTAAATGTTTTTCATCATAAAAAAATAATATTTATAAATTAAAACATTTTAAACGTATAAAAAAATATACACAGTATCCATATAGCAGTTATATATAGTCTATACAACTTAATGCAGTTAACACTCTCAAAACTGCATATCCCATATCTTATAAAAAATATTTTGTTGCAAAATAATGCAAAATTTTATTAATTATTCAGGTAGCTATCTTGGTTTACTGTATCATTGATAGAGCAGCTTTTGCTTTAAAACAATAAAACTATTATTCTAATTATAAAAGATTTTACCCTAAAATTAACAAGTAAAACCACTATATATTTTTATAACTGTTTTCTTTAGTTTCTTGTTAACTTTCTAAAACTTTAAAGGTTATTAGGACTTTCCAGACTATTGCACTTCCACCATTTATATTTCTGTAATTTTTTTAAGTTTTACATTTTTTACGTTTTTTTTACCATAGTAATGTGACATTAGTCATGCGGTGAAAACTATGAAGCAAAATAAGCATATCTGAAAAAGTTTTATTTTAGCAGTCAAGCAGAAAATAAGGAAATATGATTTAAAAAAATCATCACTAGAAGGAACATGCGGAATGCTACTCCAGCTGCAAATTATTGAACAATATCATAAAGTAAAATGTTTTCTGTGTTTTTCAAATTTCACTTAATTATTATTCATTGAAAATAAACAGTATTGACATAAGCAAAAATAATGAATAGTTGTTTAACAGTTAAACCTGCAACTAAGGCAACTCATTCATGCTTCAAAGGTAGCAAACCTTTCATTCTTCACAAAGAAATAAAGATTTCTGAATCAGACTCTTCATTAAAATCAACATATTATAAAATTTTATATTATGAATATAAATAAATTTTGTTGCGCATGGATGGTGTCCCTGTTAATGCTTTTGGTGTGCATTGTCAAGGCCACACAAGGAGCCCTATGTCACAGCTTAGGGTTAATTAACAGGACTGAGACAGCTGCATAGCTCATTGATTACGAGGCTGTGCTCTATCTATGAATGAGTCAAGTTCTCATTAAACCCAAATCATGACCGAAGTAACCAAAAATTTAAAAAACCATCCCCACCACCTAAATGTTTTAATATATCTTTTACAAATATTTGCGGTCTACGAAGCAACTTTCCGTCAGTTGAGTCTTACTGCAAAATTCACCAGACTTGCTTGCACTCAGTGAAACAAATTTAAATTCTGCAATTCCTTCAGATGTCAGTGTTGATGGGTACTATCCTTTGATTCGTAAAGTCTCCAATAGTCACATGCTAGGTTTAGGGGTATACATACGCATTAATTCCCCTATTTGTCGTGAAATCAGGTTCGAATCCTTTGACCATTCTTTTATGTGCTTTCACCTAGCACCTCTTCACTCTATCACCTTTCTCTTTTTTCTTTATCGTTCTCCTTCTTCCCATGATTGCACTCTTTTAGATGTTATCTCTGATCAAATTGACCATGCCCTCTCTCTTTACCCCTCTGCCAATACTGTTGTTGTTGGTGATTTTAATGCCCATCACACTGAATGGCTCGGCTCTAATACCACTGTTCCTGCTATCACTAAAGCCTTTAACTTCTGCGTTTCTCAATCTCTTACTCAGATAGTTAACTTTGTGACTCGTTTTCCTGACAACCCTAATCATTTACCTTCACTCCTTGACTTATGTCTTGTCTCTGACCCTAGCTTATGTTCAGTTTCTCCCTTTTCTCTCATAGGTGGTTCTGACCATGCAATGACCTCTATAAATCTTTCTTCTCATACTTTTTTTTTGGGCTCACCTTATCATCGCACCACCTACTACTACCCTAAAGCTGACTAGGATTCTTTTCGTGATTTTCTTCGTGATGGTCCTTGGGCTGATGTTTTTTCTCTCTCAGCTAATAAATGCGCCTCCTACGTAACCTCCTGGATTCAGGCTGGAATGGAAGCTTTTATTCCTTCTCGTCGGTTTCAAGTCAAGCCTCATTCTACTCCATGGTTTTCTCCTTCTTGTACGGCTGCTATATCCAATTGTAATCATTTTTTTCATCTTTTTCAAAAGAACAACTCTCTTGAGAACAAACGGCTATTTATTATTGCAAAAAATCGATGTAAAAAGGTGCTTTCTGATGCTAAACTCCATTATTCTCAGTTCACTAAATCTCGCATCATATTGCAGAAGTTAGGCTCTAAAGACTTCTTGGAAAATCTTCAACAGCATTATTAACAAGGGTAGATCTAACATTCCATCTATCATTTATGGGACTGATCTTATTACCTCTCCCAAGAATAAGGCAGAACTATTTGCAAAGAACTTTTCTTCTAATTCCACTCTTGAATCTTATGGACATTCTCTTCCTTCCATTCCAGTCAAACAGGTTGACCCATTGTTAGACATTCAAATCACTCCAGCTTCTGTTGCTAAAGTCATATCTCAATTAAACTCGTCTACAGCTTGTGGTCCAGACAACATTCCTGTCACATTCTTGCAGAGTTGTTCTCTAGAACTTTCTTCAATTCTCTCTAAACTATTTAACAAGTGTTTGACTGAGTCTTGTTTTCCTGCTTGTTGGAAAATGGCATCTGAGGTTCCAATATTCAAAAACTCTGGAGAAAATTCTGACCCTCCAATTATCGTCCGATCAGTCTTCTTTCTGTTATTAGCAAGGTCTTTGAGTCTTTGATCAACAAATTCCTCACATCTTATCTTGAGTCAAACAAACTACTGTCAGACAATCAATACGGTTTTCAATCCTCTCGCTCTATGGCTGACTTGCTAACTGCTGTAACTGAAAGATTTTATCGTGCATTAGATGGAGGCGGTGAGGCTAGGGCTATTGCTTTCGACATATCTAAAGCTTACGACAAAGTTTGGCATGCTGGTCTTCTCCATAAGCTTGCTTCATATGGTGTTTCTGGGAAAGTTTTTGAGATTATCAAATCATTTCTTTCCAACCGGTTTATTAAAGTCATCTTTGAAGGCCAACACTCTTCTTTATTTCCATTAACTTCTGGGGTTTCCCAAGGTTCTATCCTGGGCCCTGTTTTGTTTCTTATCTACATAAACGATCTTCCTGACAACCTTTTATCTAAAGTAGCTCTTTTTGCTGATGACTCAACTTTATACTCCTGTCTTGACAAAAAGTCTTCTCTTTTCGATCGCCTAGAACAAGCAGCTGATCTTTAATCCGATCTCACTTCAGTAATAGATTGGGGTTCACAGTGGCTTGTGAATTTTAACTCTAACAAAACTTAGTTGTTACTGCAAACAACTACCGTAATATGGTCAACATTCCTATATTAATGAATGGCAATCCTCTTACTGAGTCCTCCTCTATACGTCTTCCTGGATTATTGCTTACTACTGACCTTTCATGGAAACCATATATACAATCGATTGCTAAATTAGCTTCCGCTAAGGTTGCTTCTCTTTATCGTGCTCGCCATTTCCTTACTTCTGATTCCATTCTCTACCTCTACAAATCTCTTATTCATCCCTGTATGGAATACTGTTGTCATATTTGGGCTGGTTCTTCTAACGATTCACTTTCTCTTCTTGACAAGGTCCAAAAATGCATTGTAAATGTTGTTGGACCTGGACTATCTGCTAAGCTTGAACCTCTTTCCCATTGTCGTAAAGTTGCATCTCTTTCTCTTTTCTACTGATACTATCATGGTCACTGCTCAAAAGAGTTATCATCTCTAGTTCCATCAACTAAAATTCATTCTCGTTTTACTCATCATTCAGCTAAGTCTCATTCGTTTACTGTATCTGTCCCTGCATGCTCTAAAAACTTTTATTCATCTAGTTTTTTTCCCCGCACTTCAATCCTTTGGAACTCTCTCCCATCTTCATGTTTTCCTGACTCATACAACCTTCAATTTTTCAAGTCTTCTGTCAACCGTTTCCTTGCTCTATAACTCTGTTCTTTTTTTTCATAGTAACTCCCAACTTAACAGTGGTTGCTTGCAGCCTTATTGGGAGTGAATGCAAACAAAAAAACAAAAAAAAACTAGTAAATTAAAATTTGTAGATTTTTCAATGGCAATGAAAAACCTTCTGGTCACTATTTTTCTGAACATTTTAATTAACTTTTAGAAAAGATTTACCTTGTTAATGCAGAGTAGAATTCAAGACTTACAATAGCATTCCTTAAATTTATTTTTATTTATAAAAAAGACAATTTTAGAGAAGATATACAGATTTATTTTATATAAATACATGTATCCATAAAAAAAGTTGCAACTAAGATTTATTTAAAAAAAAAACAACAACAACTTGATTTTAAGTAAAAATAAATTGTCTGATAATGTTTACTACATAATAATACTACATGCTATATGTATCATATACATAATTTGTAATTATAAATAATTTGTTTAATTATACAGCTGGTGCAGAAAATGCAGAAATGTAGACATCTAACTTAATTTTCTTTTGTTTGTTGTTTTGTTTTTTTTCAAAAAAATCAAGAATAATGAGGTAACAAAACTATGTTAGTTTGTAAGATTTATTTAATATTTTGTCATCTGCTTTTAGAGAGTTTTTGAAAGTATTGAGTTATGTCCTGAATCCAAACTCTTTTTATTTCCTTGATCAGTTCAGGTTACAACTTGGCAAAAACCAAAAAATTTCAAAAAACCTTTTCGTTTTTTATAAGTTGTAAAAAAACGGGTAATTGGTTTTACAACGTTATTATTTTATTACAAAAGTGAATTTTGATTATTGCTGTATAAATCAAATACAACCTACAGAAATACAACCTACAGAAATACAACATACAGAAATACAACCTACAGAAATACAACATACAGAAATACAACCTACAGAAATACAACCTACAGAAATACAACCTACAGAAATACAACCTACAGAAATACAACATACAGAAATACAACATACAGAAATACAACCTACAGAAATACAACCTACAGAAATACAACCTACAGAAATACAACCTACAGAAATACAACATACAGAAATACAACCTACAGAAATACAACCTACAGAAATACAACATACAGAAATACAACCTACAGAAATACAACATACAGAAATACAACCTACAGAAATACAACCTACAGAAATACAACCTACAGAAATACAACCTTCAGAAATACAACATACAGAAATACAACCTACAGAAATACAACCTACAGAAATACAACATACAGAAATACAACATACAGAAATACAACCTACAGAAATACAACCTACAGAAATACAACCTACAGAAATACAACCTACAGAAATACAACATACAGAAATACAACCTACAGAAATACAACCTACAGAAATACAACATACAGAAATACAACCTACAGAAATACAACATACAGAAATACAACCTACAGAAATACAACCTACAGAAATACAACCTACAGAAATACAACCTTCAGAAATACAACATACAGAAATACAACCTACAGAAATACAACCTACAGAAATACAACATACAGAAATACAACCTACAGAAATACAACATACAGAAATACAACCTACAGAAATACAACCTACAGAAATACAACATACAGAAATACAACCTACAGAAATACAACATACAGAAATACAACCTACAGAAATACAACCTACAGAAATACAACCTACAGAAATACAACCTACAGAAATACAACATACAGAAACCTACAAACCTGCAGAATATACTGAAATTAAATCTGTAAACTGAGGAGAATTTTTCATCTTTTTAAGTTTTCTTTTTCTTTCCAATTCTTCAATTTTTTGGGAACTCAATAACCCAATTGTTTATTTTTATACTTTTTATAACTGAATATACTATTGTCAACATTATTGTTAATATTACCTATGTCTTTAAAACACCAGTGTACTGCTGCTATAAACATGATAACATGTCTGCAAAATTTTGCACTAGTTGTATTTTAATGCATTTTATTGAAAAATGAATATTATTTTTGTAGTTTTGATTTAATGTGCTTCTTTTGTGACCTAGGATGAAAAATATTTGAAAATTTTAGAAAATTATATTAGGATAAATAAGAAATTTTTTATAATACTATTTTCGATTTTCATGTTTAATTAATTTTTTTTACATTTTGTTAAAAAATTAAATTTTTGTATTTAGGCTTTATGCAAAAACGATATTTGTAATCTGTTAGAAGAGTTTGATAAACATGAAATGAGGCCTCTCCATATTGCTGCAAAAGAAGGACATGAAAATATTGTCCAAGTAAGTATATATATATATATATATATATATATATATATATATATATATATATATATATATATATATATATATATATATATATATATATATATATATGCATCAGTCATATATCAATTATTTTAGACTCTTTTGAGCTTAGGTGCACGCATTGATGCTAAGAGTGATGAAAGTCTTACTCCACTACACCTAGCTGCAAAGTATGGTCACTCAAGGTCTGTAAACAGTTTTCTTGAATCTTTAAGTTTAACATAAATAATCATTTTATTGTACTTTTGGTATCTTTAATCTATTCAGTTAATCTGTGACAAGATATCTATTTGCAAGAGTAAGAGTTTATTTGGGTAAATTATTTAATAAGCTTTGTTAACTAAATTTTTGTTTTGATTCTTAAATATGAAGTTTGTTTTGCTTCTTATTTCAACATGCAAGAAATTCCTACATTTTTTATATAGTATATTTATAGAAAGTGCTTTTATATTGGATATTCCCTAAAATCTTTCTTGTTTTTTAATTTAAATTTAAATTTACAAAACATAGCAATGATTATTTATCCCATATTTAAGAAACTTTTGTTTAAAGACTGTGTGGGAAGAATTATACTACTATACACTAGCAAGATTATTTCAATGTATTTCAAATGAAAATAGTTAAATAAACCAAAAGTATTCACTTGACTAACTGTAATATTGTTTCTTGTCAAAAAAGGTTTGTAAATTCTTGTTAATGGCATTATTTAAAGCAGTTCAAGTGGTGTTCTTTTACATGCTGAAAATGATTTTTTTTCAGTTATTACAAGAGTTTTGCTACAATAGTTTAAGGACAGCTAGATAGCCATAGTACACTAATCAAGTTAAATGATTTTCATTAAATGCTGATAATTTAAAAGTAATGTAATTTAAAGATTATTGCACTTTTAGCTTTTAAAGGTTTGTACAAAGTACTGCTACTTTAAAAAGCTGAGCAATAGGTTAGCATTACAGTTAGCTATTACAATGTTAATGAGTACCTAGTATTTAAGTTCAGATCATGTCCCACTGTTTTCATCAGCAATTATACTAATTAAATAATTTTCACTACCTTGAAAAAATATGTTTATGATCCAATAATAAATAATAACCTATGAAAAAATATGTTATGATGCAATAATAAATAATAACCTATGAAAAAAAATGTTTATGATGCAATAATAAATATAAGTAATCAAGAATATAAAAATCCACTTATGATGGAAGATTTTACTTGGCTTCATTTCTTGTAAGACAAATTGTTTGAACAAGACTATTGATGGAGTTTGTTATTCAAAACTTTTTTTCTTGTTTAAACAAAGAAAAATTTCATTCATTTATAGAATAGTCCAATTGTTATTATCAAATGTTTTGAGCATTGTCAATGATGTTGATGATTCTTCAAATACACCTCTTCACCTTGCTGCAATGGAAGGTCATGTTAAAGTTGTTGAGATGCTTATTGAAGCTGGTTCTGCAGTTGATACTAGGTTAGTTGGTGCTTAAAATGATTTTTAGCTACTTTATGCATTAATTTTTTGTTTACAATGTGCTGTAATATTTTTAAAATGTTACATTTTTTTAAATCAAGAAATGCAAAGCTAATGACACCCTTAGACTGTGCTGCTTACCGTGGGTGGAACCAGTGTGCCCAGTGTTTGTTAGATGCTGACTCAGCTGTAAATCCCACTGATAAGGTCAAGGTATGAGTTTTTTTTACATTTGTTCTAGAATAAATAATTTATAAATCATATTAAGTACTTATAACAATAAATAGTAATCAATAAATAATATCAATAAATGTTCAAAAAGTATACAAATTATAAGTGAAAGTATTTGGTGAGAAAAGGCTAATTAAATGCACAGCTAACGCAAAAAAACCTATAACATTATTTTCCTATTGAAAAAGTATGCAAAATGAAGTTTGATTTCTGACATTATTTACGCAAAAAATTGAGTTATCTTACATTTAGCAGATGGTTACATTTAACGAGATCAATTTTTCCATCATAAGCAAACGGGTGAATTCTTGTGTGCTGTTATTTTGACAGATTTCATCCTCTATATTCACAGAACAGTGAGAAAAGAAGAAGAACTTTATATTTTCTATCTAAGAACAATGAATTCTGAATGCTATATTAATATTTATGAGACAACACTCTTAGATGTCAATTGAATCCTTGGAGACACTTGAGTATGACTTAATGATATTGACCCAGAATACTTTTTGAAAACTCACTGATAGTATGTAGAAATGTATTGAATTAGTGACTAAAAATACATATGACATATGACTATGTGTTAAAATAGACATTAAAATTTGTTTTAATCTTTATTTGAGGCAAGGTTTAGACTAGCTGTACTTGTTAGTAAGTTTTATATTTACATTTATATAAAAAGATTCCAAAAGTAAGTGCAGAATTAAAGTAAGTGCAGTCCAAACAAATTATATGCATTCTTGTTGCCAACATATAAATGAAACCATATGAAAAACTCACGCAAAAAATAGACATATACTGTAGTAACTACTGTTTTATAAACTTTTTACATAAATTATGTTTGCATTAGATGCCTCAAAATAACTTAAATGTTTAAATTATAATTTATCAAAATTTTTCTTAATTTATGATTATTTTTTAATTTTTATAAAATCTGTTTTAAATCATTTAAATTATATTTCAAAAATTTTTTTACTTAAAGAATTTTTGTGTTTTATTTATCTAAAATAATAAAAACTGTTTATTTTTTTATACAGTAAAAAAGTTATTTTTAATTTTTTTTTTATCTGTTTTTTTTCTTGTATGACTGTAAAGATTTAGAAAAAAAATTCTAATTAAAAATAACTATTCTTTTAAATAAACAGAAAATCCTAAACACTGCAGTGTTATTGGATGTTAAAATTTTATCTACGTAGAACAAAGTGCAGTACATGCTTATGCAATAGGGTGGCCACACCTCCTAGAAAATCCTAAAATGTCCTAATATTTGAAAAACATCCTATAAAGACCTAAAGTATAGGTGATTTTCTCAAATACTCTTAAATTCTCCTAATTTATTTGTCCTGAGTATATTGCATAAACTATTATCAGCCAATCAACTATAAAGTTAATAAAATGGATCAGACTTGGAGTTAGTGCTGTTGTTTACTGACAGAAAATTTACTCAAATGTATATTTAATATTTTTGTAATATTTTAATAATTTAAAAATTTTATTCTAATAAAATTTAAGCTTTTTTTTCTTATTTTTGCTCAAGTTCTGCACATCAAAATTATTTTTTTTTTAAACTTTATTTTAATTAAGTTGACCTAAAATAATTTTGTACATTCAGAATAGAAAATGTCAGTCAAATATAATGCTAAATTTTAAAAGTGGTTAAAAGACAAAAGATATAAAAATTTTTATTTAGTTAAGTATTATGTTATTATGTTAGGTGATTTTTTTAATTCCAAATATCTTTCTTTTAACTACTCCTTTTTGCCATAAGTTTTTTTTAAAAAATATAATTTTATAATACCTTTTTTTTGTTAACTTTTTCAATTATCACTTATCATAAAGTTGAGAAAGCTACCAGCCAAATGCTAGATTTATAAAATAAATTATTCTGCATTGTTTAACATTTGTTAATTTTTTTTTTGCAAAATATATTCTGAATTTTTTAAATATAACCTAAATGATTGCTGTATGATTAAAAGTTTTAGATGTTGCAGATCTAAATACGAACACATAAAAAAAAATGTCAATGAAAAAAACATGTATTTTTGAATGTTATATGTACTATTTGTTTGAAGGTTATGCCTGTTGCAGATCTAGATACAAACACATTGAAAATACATATTAATGAATAAAAATATAAACAATATATGCCTGTTATTGATGAAAGAAATACAAAGGTGTACACTGTGTATAATTGAGTTATATTTGTTTAACGGTATAAATTTAACATGTTAACATGGGTAATATTTAACAGCATTTGTTTTGAAACTTTTTTATTACATGCTTTTGCATATTCATAAAATTTAGTCTTTTCACATATTCATTTTATTAATTTATTTATCTATGTATGAATTTATTTAATATATTATGAAAAAATGTTATTAACTTTTTTTTAACTGTTTATTATAAAAAATATTGTGTTCTGTTATTTTTTCTAACTTTACACTGTATAATGTGCAAAAAAAGAATGTCAGTCAAATATAAAACTAAATTTCAAAATCATTGGTTAAATGACAATAATTATAAAAATGGGTACAAAAATGTCCCAACGATTTGTATTCGATAAAATGTAAGGTATATTTGAAACTCATTTCTGTTGCAGGTCTGGGTACAAAGGCATCGGAAAAAAATGCTAATGGTAATAAACACAAACAACGTATGCCTGTCTGTGATAAATATGCATTGAAAACTGTTGTAGAACCACCAACTAGCCCAAAAGCAGCACTGTGTCCACAGCAAGCTTCTATTGTATTTATTGCAGAGTCACAGTTAGCAAAGAAAGCAGAGATAATGTAGTTGATGCTGTGCTTTCAAAACATTCTTTTCAATCAAGTGCAAAAAAATCTGAATTATTTACTGCAGTGTTTAGTGATAGTCAAATAGCTAAACAATTTTTTTGTGGGAAAACAAAGTGCACTTATCTTGTGTGCACTTATCTTGTGTTTGGAATTGCACCATATTTTAAGGAAATTTTGTATGAGGCATTATCAGAGCTTGATCAGTTTGTTTGCCAATTTGATGAATCTTACGACCAATTTGTCAAGAAAAGTCAGATGGATTTGTACATTAGATATTGGGACTTCTCATTAGAGATGGTAAAAACAAGATATTTTAACTCTGAATTCTTGCGAAAAGCTGCTGCTGTCGATATTGTGATAAATTTCCGTAAATGTATGAGTGGTTTACAAGAAAATAAAATGCTCCAGGTTTTCATGGATGGTTAAATGTTAACATGTTTTTCCTCTCTAATTTGAATGCTAAGAGAAGTGAATGTGAACTCAGTCAGTTAGTATCAATTGGGTGATGCGGCCTTCACACAATGCACTGTTCATTCAAGAATGGTACAAATGCTTCAGGATGGAAATTGAACAATTTGCTGTCTTCATTGTATAAGATATTCCATGAGAGCCCTTCTCATCAACCTGATTTCAAAAATCTTACTCAAGCTCAGTCTTCAGACTATGCTCTACAGTTCTGTAGTCATCGTTGGATCAAAAATAAGAAAGTAACAAAGAGAGCTATTGAAATGGCCTAAGATTATTGCGATTATTGACTTTTGGAAAAATTTACCAAAAAGGAAGCAACCTGGTCAATGTAAGCCTGGGCAAAATACTAGTAATGAATACCTTTCTTCATGCTATAAAGATGTGTTAGTCCCTATAAAGTTGCAATTTTTTAAGGAAACTGCAAAACTGTTAAATTCTTTTTTGTTAGTTATCCAAACCGACAATCCTATGACACCTTTTCTTGTGGAAACACTTGAGAATTTACTGAGGCTATTTTTATCAAAATTTATCAAAAAAGAAGTTTTGTCATGAAGCATCCACAACTTTTAAATTATTAAAAGTTGATATCAGTGATGTCAAAAATCAAGTGTTGGTTGCAAATATTGATCTTGGGTATGGAATAAAATATGAGTTGCAGCAACTGAAATCTAGAAAAAAAGTTATTGATGCACAAATCTATATTTTTAAAACAGAAGTTCAACAGTTTTTAGTTACAACGTGCAAACATATGGTTGAAAGAAGTGCTCTAAACTCATACTTTGCTAGATATTATTTTTATCATCTTTGTACATGGTTGAATCTCATGAGATGTGTGAACTTTATTTTGACAAGTTGTTGCTGATATTAGTTGCTTATAAAAACGGTATCACCTTCAGTTGCTGATCCAGCCAAATTACAGTATTCACAATTTTTAACTACTGTTGTGAAAGTGAACAAGGAAAAATTTCTTGGGTTCAAAAAAAAAAAGTGATAGATTCGATTATTTTTTGGTTCAATATACAGATGCTTCAAGATTCAAGGATTTATGAAAATTTACCAATTGTTGCTAATATTGTCCCATGGCCAAGCACGAGTAGAGCGTGGATTTAGTATATACGACCAACTTCTAGATAATATTATGCTATCTGATACTCTTGTTTCCCAGAGAATTGCACATGACCACATGTGCAATATGTGAAAATATAAAATCATCCCAATTGGCTATGACAACTAAACTTATGGGACATGTCAAGAATGCACGAAAACTATACTTTAGCAGTCAGAAAGAAAAGTCCTTGAATGCTTTAAAAACTGACCGTGATACTAAACTGAAAAATTTTTATAAAGAGATTGCTAGTTATAATGAACAAATTCACACCCTTGAAGGTACCATACTTCAGCTCAGATATGATGAAGATAAGTATGCATTGCAAGCGGAAAAGCAGAAATCATTGATAGAAATAAAGTCAACAATTCTAAAATCTAATGTGCTAAAGAGAGTTGCCTCTGAAAAGCAGGACTTATTAGAAAAAATTACAGCATCAAAAAAAATTTATTGACAAGAAAGCTGAGATTTAGATTTGGATGTTTAAGTTTTTCAATCGTTTTGTTTTATTGATTTGATTATCTTTGATTTCTTTTATGATTGGATAATATAAAACATAAAGTTTATTTTGGCTGTGTATTTTAATGATTTTTGATTATTTATTGTTTGTTTTTTAGTCATAAAGTCATCTTTTTAATGCAATGTTAAATTTGTTAAATTTCTAAAGCAAGCATGGTTTGCTTCAAGTTACTATTTTTGTATGTGTAGACTATGTCAGACTATTTTAAATAACAGTGTTTGGGCCCTAATTTTATCTTAATTATTTTAGCTAGGCATTCTTACAGTTTTTAAATAAAATGAAAATTTTTTAGTGCCACTTTATTTTTAAAATCCTCCTAAAATCTCCTAAGATTTTTATACTTTTTTTTCCAAATTTCTCGATAAATCTCCTTAAAAACATTTTAAAATCTCCTATATTATCCTAAATTATTCTAATATTTTCAGACAAAAAAAGTGTGGCCACCCTGTACAATGTTGATGAGAATAAACCTGACATGAATATTACATTTTATGGCAAATTATTTCATTAACAATATGATTTAAAAATCTGGTGCTTTTAAGACAACAATAAAGTTTGTGCGGTTTAAAAGCATGACCGCAATAACCCATGTAAAAGCATGATCACAATAACCCATGTAAGAATTCAAAAACATTTGATAAATCAGTGCCCACTTTACAGTTAAGAATTTTGTAACATAATACTAAATCATTCACATATAACAATATTCTAATAAAAAGAGCTTGAGTGTAGCTAAGTTACAGCATGCAATGGCACGCCATTCCTGTCCAAGCCTGAGTATGGCTAGACATTTATTATAGGATGCTGACCACCAATTCTCTTAATGAAGAAGCATTGTATTTTCTCAAATTTTTTTATTTATCTGACAAATTAATAGAGACCATTAAGTAAAGTGGCTATACCAGAGAACAATTTTCTGAACCATCATTAACCATTAACCTAAGAATGAGATTGAATCTCAAGATTTTTAAGTCACAGATAACTATCAATTGTAACTTCAAGATTTTCAAGTCACAGATAACTATCAATTGTAACTTCAAGATTTTCAAGTCACAGATAACTATCAATTGTAACTTCAAGATTTTCAAGTCACAGATAACTATCAATTGTAACTTCAAGATTTTCAAGTCACAGATAACTATCAATTGTAACTTCAAGATTTTCAAGTCACAGATAACTATCAATTGTAACTTCAAGATTTTCAAGTCACAGATAACTATCAATTGTAACTTCAAGATTTTCAAGTCACAGATAACTATCAATTGTAACTTCAAGATTTTCAAGTCACAGATAACTATCAATTGTAACTTCAAGATTTTCAAGTCACAGATAACTATCAACTGTAACTTCAAGATTTTCAAGTCACAGATAACTATCAGTTGTAACTTCAAGATTGTGAATACTGTTAACATAAGTAAGTTCAATGGCTATTTATATCATAATCACTGTGAGTTAAATTTTGATTCTAGTTAGTAATTGTACAAATAAAGCATTTTACTATGATTTTTGTTATTAGTAACAATAATCAATAAACATATATAACAAACAATGTTTGATTTGTTTTTTTTTTATATTTTGTGTATGAAACAACTGTACATTAAACTATGATACAATGTGATAAAAAACAGTTATTTGAAATAAAAAAGTTTCTCAAAAATGTTTCTTTTTAAGGTAACTTCTTTACACCTGGCTAGCAAAGAAGGACATGTTGGTATTGTAAATTTGTTACTTTCAAGAAATGCAGATGTCACTCGAAGAGATCATTTGGGAAAAAATTGTTTAGATTATGCTATTGAAAATAATCAAAGGTAAATTTTTTATCATATCTAGTATACTATCAAATATAATTCTCTCCTGGTATAATATCTAATAGTATACCAGGAGAGAAAATTAATTTTTAAATAAAACAAGTGTATTAATTTTAATTGAAACATGTTACACAATTCATTCAAGTTATTATTTGTACTTAATTTAAATAACTGTAATTTAAATAACATAAATCTCACAATTTATGTCCACTTTTTTCTCAAAAAATAATTTTTTGTATTTTAAGACAAAAAACATATGAGAAAAATCAGAAAACCTGACTTGTAAACTTTTCGTCTAAAAAAAAAATGCTAATCAAGTTTTTTAGCTAATCAAGTTAAAACTATCAAAAGTTCTAATTTCTGAATTTCTGCTAAGAAAATTATATAAAAGTAGAGCGCTAAAAATCATAAGGTTTTCTCTAGACTTTCACAAAATTTTTGTGCACTATCTAGATCTTTATAATTTCTCTAATCAAATGTTAAAACATGTTTTAAGTATTGATTTGTTTTAAATTGTATTCTGCAAAATAAAAAAGATAAATAGATAAAAGTACTTTCCATTTTATGCAACAGTTTTTTCGCCCCTGAGGCTTTTATTAGCATTTTCTTGAAGCTATGTCTTGAATATTTTTACCATGTCTTGAAAATTTTGCCAAAAGTTGATCAGTTGTGCATGAAAAAATCAAGTTTTTAATTTAAAATTAATTAGAAATTATTTTTTTATAATTTCCAAATAATTTGTAAAATTTACAGTCTCAACTTATTATTTAAAGAGCAGGACCATTGTCAGTGATTGCACCCTATATTATAATTCCTGTTTTAATATCCAATAAATCGCTTTTTAAAAGAAAGTACAAAATATTCTGGATTAAAGCATGAGTTTAGTGGCTGCCAAACATTACTTATTGTGCAACAAACTTTTTAACTTCTATTATGTCTGAGAACATCACACGTTGCCACATTTTTTTCAAAATTTGAGTTGATCATAAATATTTTTTTGAGAAAAGCTTTTTTGAGACTTGGCTTTAATAAAACAAACAAAACACATGATTTTAACATATAGATAACATGTAAGATATATGCTCTCTATATGTTAAAATATATAATATATATATATAAAATGTATATTTACCCAAATCACTGATTCCCTGATTCTCTGATAGTGTAACACTTATGTATTAATCATGCAGAAGTTATTTTATTTTAAAGCACGTTAATTACTTAAAAAATATCATGCTTCGAAACAAATTTATTTTATTTAAACTTTATAAACTAATTGAGTTATAATATTGCGTTGTGAATATAACCACGAACTAGTATGAATATATTTATGTTATATATATATATGCACACATATTAAATTTATGATATTTATATATTTATGTATAATATATATATACATAAATATATAAATAAATTTATGTATGTATATATAAATATATATACATACAAACACACACACATATATATTAATATGTATATATACATATAGTATATTATATATACTAATTGAGTTATAGTATTGCGTTGTGTAGTGGTTAATAAATTTGATCGTAGTGCCTGTGCCTGATGTTCAA